CATTCATAAAATTGGGTTTTTTCCTCTTTTTTTTTTTTCTTCAAATAATTTGAACTATATTGGGTTACATAAACATAAATGCTTGAACTAGTGGCAAGTCTTATGAATTTTGATATTAACTATTAACTCCACCTTCATCTAAGTATCAATATTTTGTAATTCATATTAAATACAATCTTAACTACAAATTAATGGACTCTTTTTTCTTTAATCCATTTGTATTGAAAATTCTTTTTCTTAGTATATTTTCTTATTTTCTTATTTTTGTATTGTAATTGTTAGAGAAAATTAAAAAACAATAGGTTTTAACATTTAAAATGTGTTTCTTTTACCTATTATTTTTCTTATTTGAATAAAATGTGTTTCTTATCATTTCTCTTAGATTAATAGTTAAAATAACTTTTCAGTTTTGCTATTGTATTTGTTAGAACGATGTCTTAACATTTAAAATGTATTCTTTTTGCTTATTATTTCTGTTATTTTAATCCTTAAGACCCTAAAACCCTAATTTATTATGTGGTCACAACAGTCTTCCCTTTGTTCTTCAAATGTTAGTGATACTATTGAAGGAGGTAAAAGAGTTTGGATTACTCGTGGAAGGAAGCTGAGACCCGTTTGCCTGCTTGATTGTAAGTGGCTGGGTTGCAAACCTGTATCACGCAAAACATCTGCCTTCACTCGACATGAAAAATGAGACAAGTACTACAGTTTCTCAATGCTTTGGAATCTCAATACTATAGGTCTCTTTTTTTCTTTTTTCTTTTTGATTTTTTCTTAATACATAAAAATTCAAGATTGAATTTTAATGACTAAAAATACAAATCACTCTATTACCAGATCACATAATTTATTATTCCTTTGTCTTTTTTATTCGAATACTCTAAGGTCACTTTACCTACTGAACCAAAACCCCTTGGGCCTTGGCTTCTATCTCGCACTATTAAGTCACAACAAAAGCTATGCACACCATTATACATAAGAATCTTCTTACTAGTTACCTTCACCTCAGTCCACAAGCCATCCCATTGGAAAAGCAACAAAAGGAATGGTCCTTCTAAGAAAACAACCTTATGTTACGAATTGCTTTCCTTGAAAAGTCTGTCCAAAGTTCCAATTTTTAGAAGCAACACTGTAAGATGTAACTGTCAAGCCATCACTAGTGGTGACTTCGAACGAAAGTGGTTGATTCCTTAAATCAGCATTGATATGCCAATTCTGTCCCCAATTTCGACCCATTGGCAGCCAACCAGTTTTTGAACCCTTTATTTTCACAGCAACAATATCTCCAGCACCAGCAACATTGCTGATAAGAACAGAAATGAAAATGCCCGAACCATCAATTGTAAATCGAATACCTCCTTCTTTTCTGCACTTTATCCTGTTGAAAAGAAATATTTGAAGATGAGGCAAAAGAGAACTCTAGAAATTACAGGTTTGGCTGCTGATTTGTCAAATCAATATTACAAATCAGTTCCCATAAATATTTATATTACGAATTAGTACCAAGTGCAGGTGATGGTCCTCAATCTCAATGAGTATGTAAGACGTTAGTTAAAATTTTATCTAGTTTGAACTGATGTCAAAATTTTGGAGCAATCAATCTACCAATGAATATATTCCGGTATGCCAGGCAACTACCACTCTGTAAGAGTTAAACCAGTCTGTCATTTGCATCACAAGTTGACACAAGCAAGAGTAACTTCTAGTACTAAGAAGTTTCAGGTCTCAGAAAAAGCAAATATTTGTGATAAGATTCTTTCTCAAGCAGATATTATGTAATCTCAGCTACCTCCACTGTCTTCTACCATTTTTAACTTTGGCTTGAATGGATTTATGTCGGTATACTATATATGGACTTTAGGCATCAGAGATGTGAAAATCAATAAGCTACTTGACTCGATGGCATTGGAGCACTTCAGGGAAAGCCTGAGGGAACTATACAAATGCATACCATGCTATGTGAATGCCAAAGCACATGCTCCTAAAAAATTCAGCACTGACCAAGAGAATGATAAAGAGTAGATAGGAAATCAGTAGGCATCCATGCTTCACTAGATAAACCAAAGTACTGATATTCTCATCAATCAAAATTCCTCTCAGTGTACATAAGAATTTAAGACCCTAGACCATTCCTTAATCCACTAGGACTAGGATGCAATTATGCAAACATACTGACCATTTACGATAATTCCACGGCTATAGAGTAACAATAAGATAAAAAAAGTTGAGAATCAGATTGTATACTTCCCATTATGTTTGGTTGATGGGATGACTACTGCCTTGTCAGAACATGAAAATGAAATTAAGCTAAAATCAAGAAGAATACTTGAGAATGTAAGAATAGGTGGCAATAATTGTGGTTATCATATCTTCTTCAAAACAAGTTAACAAGCAGAGCAAAGGAACAGCCATTACCACATTCCCCCAGAGACTTACTACTCTCTACCTGTTCCCTAATATAGAGGAAAATGGTCAGCCTTATTCCCTCATTTTTCCTAATTTGTCAAGTGCTCTCCAAGATATAAGTTTTATGGTTACCAAGGATTAGTCTTTAGTCATTGAAAAAAACCCATTGAAAAAACCCAAAGAAAAAAAAGGGTCATTCCTAACCTTCTTAGGAAACAAATACAAAATCATTAAAGAAAATCATAATCTAAGAGATGCAAGAAGAGACAATAACTACAGTGAATTGTAATTATTGCAATTACGCAGAATGAGGGATTAGTGAGAAAATCACTTAAATTCAAAGGGAAAAGAGTTGAACCTCCGATACTGGACTGGCATATTGCCAGCTTTCCAAATGGCGATCCTCTCAAACGCCTCAATGGGGAGCACGAAGTGCTTATTCGGAGGATTACAGCGGCCTCCACCATCAGGGGTGAAACCATAATTTGGAGGGCAGAAGTTAGTAGCAGTGACAATGACAGAAGTTCCAGGGATGCACCAGCGGACGTCATCAACGCAGCGGAGCTCGAAGCAGGCACCACAGATCTGCCCGCGAGCGAAGAGAGTCTCGCTCAAACCCACGGTGGTCACGCCATATCCCGCCTTGACAAGGTCACCGTAGCCGCAGGCACCGCCCACTATGTCACGGGGATCGGCCGCGGCATAGTAGGTGGCCCGGGCGGATAACCACTCGGAAGACTGTGGAGAAGAAGATGGTGTGGAAGAAGGTGTATAGGAGGTGGCGGTTGAAGTGAGCAGAAGAAGTAGCAACGTGAGAAATGTCATTTCTGCAGAACTTGAAGAAATTGAATTGAATTGAATTGAAGCAGTGGGAAAGCGGGGGGGAAGGACGAAATCCCTCTCTGCCTCTTCTTTTCAGGAAGGACGAATCATTAATGATGCTTTAACTTTTTGCAAATGCTCGAATTAATTCTCTTTTCTTTTCCTTTTTCTTTTTTTTTTCCTTGGTGTCTACATCAGTACCTTGATATCATGACTCATCTCATAACCTTGCTCTTATATATTATTACTAGAGAAATGTTACTGTACTCAGGCCATGATTGATCTAAGTACTTTAATTTTTGGTAAAAAAAACCGTTTTTAAGTTTCTAAATTTATCTTAAAATAATATTTAAATTTTTAATTAAGAATAAAGTAAATAAATCATTTAACTTTACTAACAATACAAATGAGTCCTTCTCATTCATGAGTGTTTATGCTTTCAAGTTGATATTAAACATGTAATATCATTTAACCTGTTTGTGAAAAAACCTTATTTGTATTGTTAATGAAGTTAAAAGACTTATCTATTTTATTTTTATTTTAAAAGAGATTTATTTCAAAAGAGATTTAAATGCTATTTAGAGTACATTTTAGGACTTAAGAAGCGTTTTTACCTTTATTTTTTATTTTAAAAATTAAAATTTTTAAAAATAAATATGTTTTCACCTACTTTTAAAATTACAGTTATAGTATTATAAATTTATAATATAATATATTATTATATAATTAATTTTTATATTTAAAAATACACTTTTAATATTATATATACTTATTTAATATCATATTATACATATTTAATATTACATTATAATTATAAATTTACAATAATATATAACATTATAAGTTTGTTAAAAATATAACAGAGTACATATAGTATTCCTTTTACTACCATGCATGCATAACCATATTACTCATTCAAGCATGGAAAAGAAGAGAACATTGTAGACTTCAAAGTTCAAAGGCATAAATCCAGCAATATGCTTTTACCGACTTTCTAGAACAATAGTTCGACGAATGTGAAAATTAGGAGAGAGAAAATGAGAAAATAATATACATGCCAGCAGTTAGGTGCTTGAATTCAGCATGTTGTTTGCTGGGTGAGGTGGAGGTGTTTGTCAATCAGATATCAAGCATTGCATGTGATGAGGCGGGACACAACACGCCCCTGAATTATTTCCAGGTGGAACCCCCAAGCCTAATCACCTCTTCACTACTAGTATCTCTCCTAGGAATCCTCTCCAAGGCATCCCCCTTCTGTTCACTAATATCACCGTAAAGGTCTTTTAGCTTTGCCAAGTTACTAGAAGCGGTTGTCTTCCCTTTGCTTCCATCTCTTGGTAGACTTGAGTGACGATCAAAGGGACTATTGCCAGTAGCTTGCACACTTCGACTCCTGCTCCTGCTCCTACTGCGGCTTCTACGTGAGCTAGATTCTCTATAATGTCTATCCTCGTAGTCCCTTCTCTCTGCATATCTGGATCGCCTATCATTATCATGCCTCCGTTCTCTATCCCTATCCCTATTCCTCTCCCTCTCCCTGTCACTGACCCGATTTCTATCACGTTCTTGCTCACGGCTTCTGTCTCTATCACGATCACGGTCCCGGCCTCGATCCTGCTCCCTTTCACGATCCCGTTCCCTGTTGCGCTCACGATCCCGTTCCTTGTCGCGCTCACGATCCCGTTCCTTGTCGCGCTCATGATCCCGTTCCTTGTCACGCTCACGATCCCTATAACGATCATGATCTCGTTCTCTATCTCTGTCCCGATCTTGATCCCTATCCCGGTCAGAATACTCTCTATCAGAATATTCACGACTCTGGCTACGACGGCTGGGAGATCTCCGTAGGTCATCACCACTCGATGGTGCTAGAGTGCGACGAACGGGAGAAGAGTCCCTGGTTGATGCACGATGAGGGGCACGCTGACCAAAAGAGACTGAAAGTGCAGCTTTCACTGAAGGTGGCCGACGAGCAGTGTCCTCAGATCCACGACTGGAATCCCCAGTTGCGCCAGAAGGTTTTGTAGGGAGCTTCATCTTCTCAAGAGTAGATACAGCCTGCCGCAATACAGGAACAGGGATACGGGGAAAAAGAGTATCAAAGTAGTACTGCAACCACAGAAAGACAACTGTCAAAAACATTCCCTCCAGGACAATGAAAATAACTAATGCATGGTAAATAATTAATAGAAACAATGAGGAACTCTTAACACTTTCATAACACCTCCAAAAATGCCCACATCCATGACAAAAGCAACATATTTCATATAAACCTAGTTGTGAACTCAATCAATAAAGGGCAACTTATAGAACTTAGGGAATCTGAGTAAATTAATAGAGTGTAATTGAAATGACAATTTTCTGTTAAGTATCGGACCCCATAAGGATATGCTGTGCTTCAAGGGTTCCAATCCAAGACCAATCAAAGCAGTATGCGTTGAGCCTGCATTACCACTGCAAACCAGTGAAATGCATTGAAATCGTGGCAGAACTTCATAAGAAAAAGCTGAGAGAGACTAGAGAGAGAGAGAGAGAGAGAGAGAGAGAGAAAGAGTACCTTATTGAACGGGTAAAGTCTGTGTACAATACTGAACATATAATCACAGTTTAATAAAAGATGAATGATGTGCTTGCTTCATACATAAACTTGGATGCATATAGCTTAAGGTCACCTTGGATGTTCCCAATTATGATGTAGACAGTTGTTCTTGAAAGGTTATTTCTTAATAAAAGTTTAGCTCAAAACTTCCAATAGGGCTCTGAAGCATCATCAGCTTAAGCAATCTAAAAGCACAATAAAAAAAAAAAAATCCCAACTGCCATACTGCTTAACACTGATCAGCATTTTGCAATCAAGTGAAACCTATAAATTCTGGAAAGAATGCATTTCTTGAAAAAAAATTCACAAATGAACTATCCACCCATTTCAGTAAGTATTTAAAGTGTCCCATGCCACTAACCTGTCCAAGAAGCAAATCACGCACATATACACCCATTGTGGTCATTCGTCCATTGGATCCAGGAGAGAATTCCTGAAATAACAAACACAATTTCATTCTATGCATGTGAAACAAGTTTCCAAAAGAAAAACATATGAGCAGTCAAAAACAGAGTCAAATTACCAAATATTCCAATCTGAAAGACAAATGATTGGTCAAAAATTTTATTACCTCATCATCTTTAATGTATGGTTCATACCAAGTCCATAGAGTCTTTGGATCTGCTGCATATCTCAAATAGAGAAATCCAACCTGCAACCAAAAAAATTTAGCCATCAAAAAGAGTGATCAGTATATCTCAAAAGAGAAAGCAAGACAGCAACCTTAGACTGAGAAAGAGATGGCAATAAAACAAGAAAACTGGAAAATGAACATTCAGATATGTCTCCAGTCAAATTATGACTACTTCAGCATCAATTTGTATACCTACCAAGGATGCTAGTCCAGCTAGAGTGACAGTTCACACTTCTTTCCAAGAAGACATAACAAAAGAAAATTTAGATGTAAATTATCATGTTTATATAATAGACAGCACTCTAAGCCTGTAACAATGACAAACATAATAATAGCAAACTAGACAGATTTATACTTGGAATAACCAATGTTGATCCACAGTCAAGGAAAAATTTGATAACCGTGAAAAGAGCACATCAAATTTCAAACAACGTAAGAAGGCTCCAAAAAAGTCTCAACTAAAGTAAACAGAAAATTATGCAAGAGTACATGAAGCCTTAATAACTAAAAGAAAGATCCCTTGACTTGGCTTTTAAAAAATCTCTGAAAACTAAGGGGTTTCACTTACAAGCATTGACAAGTCTATGAAATCAGTATAACAGTACCACTAATCCTGAAATGGGAAAGCCAGTCCATCTGTTCATACAACTCTAAAACTAAAGCTACAGTATATAAAATGAAATAAAAATAGTTGTGCATTCTCTCCACCATTAAGCAAAACCTATTACTGAGAAACCTCAGAAACTATGAAAAAAGACACATCAAACCTTGATTACTGTAGATAACTACTAAGCAAAGGAAGAGAGGGGGAATGGTTCAGCAACTCAAAGAAACAAGGACACGTCAACTGTTGTCTTGTGGAAAATCTGCTATGCAAAATAAGGGGAATTATCATGCATACATATGCACTTTTATACTTAATGATATTATAAAAAAATGGAGAAAAAGGAGAGAGAGAGAAAGACCCAGTTCTAAAACTAAATGCATTTGGTTGATACCTGACCATCATTGACAAGCTTTCTAAATTTCTGCAGAATTCAGAGATCAATAATATCAAGAGACAAGGATATGGGAGGATGAACTGAAATGATAACAGACATTCAACAAATGTCATTGAATACTAAATTTGCATTGAATTCTTCCTTTAAATAAATCTGCAGGAAAAGGGGTCTCAATATTCAGAAATTTCATTACTTGTCACGTCATCATACCTAAGAGGAAATTATGTATATCAAGCATCATATTGATCTCCAATTTCCAAATCAAAGATAATAGGTGATATTAATACAGGTATCAAATATTGATTAAAGGAACAAATTATTGATATCTCCCCACCCTCAAATGACAAAGGGGCAAAAGATCAGACTACAAACCCCATCACCTTTATTGTCAACATTCAGTCAAGGTCATTCAAAATGCCACAAATTTGAAAAAAAAAAAAAATGGAAAGATAAAATGCCACTTACTGCTCTTATGTAAGGAGAATCTTGGTGCTTCAACAGTCCATGCATTTGCTTGACAGTAAGTTTCATGGTAAAGAACTTGTAAAGAAGGCAGAAAGCTGTTGAAGGACCACGACAGTTCCCCGTCATCCAGGGCTCCACATGATCAACTTGATTGTAAATTTCATCTATCACTTCATGGTAAGTCTTCAATCGGTAAAGCTCTTTGAAATAATCTGAAGATAGTATATTCATACATAGCACCTTCTCCAACAATGAATCAATTGGTTTGCCACAAGTCTGTATCTCCATTCTGTGCCATCACACAAATAAATCATCATCTTTTCAAAAACACAAGTTGTCAAACAAATAGCTTTGATCTACAGCAATCATACATCACACTCATATTTCAAAACAAAACACAACCCAACTCAAGCAACCCATAAAGTTGTCGGGGGAAGCTGAGCTCAAGCTCTTTTCTAGCTTTCCCATAAATTTTCAATATAAAGGATATCAATTAAGACAAGGATTCAACGTTCCAGCTAAGAAAAATTTGAAGAACCAGAAACCCATTTACAAAACCCTAGGAAATACAAATCTAATCAACAATCTAAAATCTTTTGCGAGTGTAGTAAAAATTCTGAAATCAATCAGTAAATCGAATGGAGAAGAACGACGACAGCAGACTGAATTGAAAAGAAAACAACTCCAAAACTTTTGCAAATTAGGGATGAAAATTTGATTACGAACCAGTGCGATCCGAGATTGGGTTGACGATGAATGGAGGAGTTCGGAGAAGTATGGGGCTCGATAAGATTGGCAGAAGGGGATCAATAAACCCTAACCAGGAACCTGTTGCTTTTCAGGCTTCAGCCTCAAACGCGAAATATTGGAATCCTCAGGTAGGGGGGCCGGGCTGTTTAACCGGACGTATGTACTTTATAGACCGAGCAGCCCGTGACAGAAAAATGGGTGGTCGGCTTGGTCCATTAAAAATTATTTAAATTTTGTTTAAAAAATCAAAATAATATTTTATAATCAAAATTTTATTAAATTATAGAAAATGCTTGATACTGAGCATTATAAAATTTAATATAATTTAAATTATAAAATTCTAAACTTTAAAAAAAATATATAAAAAAAATCAACTGTTATTTTAAGATACAATATTTTTTTGAGAACACTAAAACACATTGTGGCACTGTATATATATATTTTTTACAAGAATAATAATTAATAGTTAGATTAAAAATTATTAGCAACTGAAGATGCATTCCCCAAAACAAGTAATCTTCCACTCATTGAGGGGCACGGTGGTCCATCGGACCGCATGGAATGGCAGAGTTCCATTGTGGTACTATATTAGAGTTTTGTTTTGCATAAATTTTTCTGTTATATTAGTACATTGTAAGGAATAGATAGGATTTGTAACGTGTTGAAATGTACATATAAAAACAGACACATCTATTGTCCCACGTGATCTCTTTTTTCATGATCAACAGGCTAAGGTAAAATGAAAATGATTTTTTGAGAGCCTTTCTCGACAGTAAATCCTCACACCAGGATGTGGTGTGAGTGTGTTATCGTGACAATGTACATTGACAACAAGTCCTCGTAGTTAAAGCAAGGTCTTTTACTGTCCTCGTGCTCTAAACATGCATGGTAATGTTTAGAGCACAAAAGTAAATGCCAAGAGACCCCCCACAGCACCTCTAATCTTTCCATAGAAGCTACGTAGCGACTGCTTGAACTTCCTCAACCAAGAAAGCAACTCCAGCGCCTCTGCAAGCAGACAGACGTTTTCATCATTTGTTATTAACGTTAACCATTACGTATATTTGAGATGAAGAGGCTTTACCGAGAACAAGCCTTAGATGAAAGTAACTTATATTTGCCATCAATCTAGAGTACGCAACTGTTACTGCAAAGCCTGTGGACAGAAAGAAAATAAAGGTCACCAATATATTCTCAATCATCAAGGTGATTCAACTCTTTTATAGATCCAGCAGACATTTTTACAATCGAATGTGTATTTGCGGCTTGTGCAAAAGCAACCTTTCTTTGTTGTTTCAATTAAGATGTTTTCCTCTAATCAACAGGAGGAGAGATGACATCTAAAGTTGAAGAAGAAATAATTACCAGACTCAGGATCCAATTTTGGAGAGAGACCATATATAGCATATTTCGCATAGGCTTCTAACCGCACTCGTTGTGGAGCACCCAGCTTCCTGATGTGAGATCTTAGTATTCCACTGAAACAGAAGAACCACAATTAGAAACCACCAAATTCTGAACATTGGATTTTCTACAGAATTCTTCCTTACTCTGTTTTCAATATTGTGAGAAAATCAGGAGGTAGGGATTCCATGAAAGAAGATATGTCCTCCATCTTTAGAGACTTCAGCTCATGCTTCAATTTCTTTCTCTCTTCAACTGACAGTTCCTCCCCAGGACTTGATTTACTGCCATTGATGAAGAGGTAATAGAAGATGAATTTACATATTATTCCCATACAATTAGAATTTCTATTAGAGAATAAAAATGAGAGAAAAATGGGATGTGATGGGGAGAAGTTGGTGTCAGAAGAGAAATCACCTATCAATAGTCCTGCCAGTGAAAATGACAGGAAAGTATCTGGAAAATTTTCCTACACCAAACCGTTCACCTAAATGCTGTATGGTATTAGAGTCAAGAATAATCAATGCCTTCCAGAGTCGACAATAATCTAGCCTGAATCCTTCATCCAGTTTTTTATAGAATCCATGATCCAAAAGAACTGCATATTTGAACTTGTCAACTAAATGCAGAACTTTTAACTTGCATTCAATGTTATGGGCAACATTTTTCTTGAATAGAAATTAATAAAACTGAATCAGGACATACCCAAGGAAAATCCATCTTGACCTTCCTTAGAAACCAATACATTCCCAGGATGCGGATCTCCATGCAAGAAACCATGGATGAAAATCATTTCAGCAAAAACTTCCACCAATGCTTTTGCAACCTAAATAGAAACCAAAAGAAGACATCAGCATGCACTAGAATGAACAATAGCAGGCTACCAGGTTCAATCTTCCGGGGCTAATTGAACAAAAAGGACATAAAGCCATGAAGGAAACTCCATTTGCCAATGTTCCATTATAAACAAAACTAGGCATATTGAGGACACTCAACAAGTAAAGTCGAATTTAAATCCAGAATCTTGTGCTAACAAACATATTGCAATTCAGAAAGCCCTTATCCACCATAAATTTACAAAATTTAAGTACTAGTGATCTAGAAAGAAAATTAACCTTCACTGGATTTATTTTCATGTCCTTCAGGGATTCCACATCATCAACCTGAAAGCAAAGGAATCACATGTCAGTGGTGGACATTACAGTCAGTCAAGTCAAGACTCAAGCATAAAATCCATATGGCCAGAGAAGAAGCATGAGAAAATATAGCTCTAACAGCATTTGGAAGAGTAAGAAGTCATAAGCAACCTTGTAAAGTCAAAAGCACCACGGATACCATGAAAAGTATATGAAAATTAAGAAACCATACCTTCTTCCCCCTACAGAATTGCATTGTGAGAACCTGTTTTGTTGTCAAATCCTGGATAATGATGTAAGTTTTATAATGTGTTCTATACATGTGACACCAAGTTCAGAAATATGAATTGCTAAATGAAATTCATTCAAAAGACAAGGAACTAAATTTGAAGGGTAGAAAATATCAACCGTACCCAAAATACATGAGGAACCCTAACCAGTTTGTTGTTTTTGAAGTTATCAGCAGTCTTCTCAGAATTTTTGGCCTCCTGAATAAAATCTGTCCAGTTGCTTTGTAAAGTTGTTTTAAATTATAGTATGCAACTTACTTATTATTTTCAAATATGATAATCTTCTAAATTTATGAAGAAAGCTAAAGATTCATCTGACATCAAGGTCAATCATATTATATACTGCAAAAATTTTTATTGAACAACAAAAGGACATTGTCTAACATATGAAGAGTCAAACAAGTTTAATTTGGAGGCTAACTCCTATCCTAGTATGAAAATTATTGGACGGTCAATGGTTGGTCACAACCCAAGCTCTTGAAAGCAGCTAACTAACCCACTTAGTGGATTTTGGTCAACGATGGCAACACTAATAATTCATATTAAAAAAACAAAACGTAACATACAGAAAATATAATTATTCCCAAATTGAAGACGTGAACTCATCAGTGCATATATGCGTACATAAAACATACATATATAAGGAGAGCATCAGAATGATTTTCAACTAACACAACTCAAGTACCTAGTTTGAAATAATAGTCGAATATTAACTGCAAAAGGGAATTTATCACTAACCAAGCTCCAAAGAAATTGTCTCTGCAAATTCCGATACCAGCCACCCAAACCTATATTCAGGGAAAAACTGTAGAATGCAAAGAGAGGGATTAGGTGGTCCAACATAACTATCGAAAATAAATGAAAACAAACAGAAAATATAAGTCCAATTTCTGTTCCAATATCATCATTTCTTTGTTTCCAGATTCAGCAATAAAATTGAAACACTGCCTCGCCATCAAAAGAACAATAAGCAAGCCAGACCCACCCCGCTTGGGTGGAGGTTTTCCTAGTGCTTGTGGATGGACAGTTTGTAGGTACTCATGGAATTAGTTGAACTAAAAGTCTGGATACCCATGTTAACAAAAACAAACACAAACAATCAAGCAGCACATACATGTGGTGAAGTTCAACAATAAAAATTGCGACATTGAGGATAGAACTCTCAGCTACTCCATGAACTAACTCTAATATTTTCAAAAATTATTCAACCTAATAACTTAAGCTGGTAGGTAAAGAGCAAAAATATGTTTATATCAATTATAATCCACATTTCACATAAGAGACATAGTCAATTTATAAAAGATTAGCACTAAGTGACAAGTAGAATCAAGTTTAGTGTGTACCCATGCAACAGATTTTGAGAGAAAAGACATAACTGTTGTGTCTAATCTCATCTTCTGCTCCAGCCCAGGGTATTGCACCTATTGTCAAAAATAAAAAAATAAAAAAAGAAAAAAAAAAAGAAAAAAGAAGAAAAAAAAAGAACGAAAGAAAGAAAAAAGTTGTTAATGTATGCTTAGAAACAATGAGATTATTTTCAACTAATGTTGCATTCAACAATTAGACTAGTAGAATGAGCAGCTGAAGGAAGAAGAAGAGCAACAAAAATAAAACAAGGTGGTATGTTTATTTTTTGTTTGTTTTCAATGCATAAAGAAAAAGTACGAGTATCATGATTAAAGAAAAACGATTATTTTATTTATACTTCTGTGACTTCATTACAGGCTAATGTATACCAGCAGCATAATGCAGAAACGGTATTCAACAAAAAGAGAAAACTCTGTTCAATGGTATTAATGGGTGGGATGGTATTAATGGGTGGGATGGTATTAGAAAATATTGTTGGAGGAAATGTTTCCAACAGAAAAGGTAAAGATTCTCTTTTTCATTATTAATTGGCCATCTTCAAACCCAAACCAACCATCTCAGATGAGCATGGTCAACCAACCCTTATGATTCGATTCAATCCATAACCACAAAACATGCAATCACCTTAATTTCAAATATACTAATTACTGAGCAGGATGATTTTGCGAACCAACCTTCACTGCTACTTCTTGATGATTTTTCAATATGCCATGGTGTACTTGAGCAATGGATGCAGCAGCTATTGGTTGTTCACCAAAGGAAAGAAATCTGAGGTTTACAAAACGAAATTCTAAAGTCAACAACAAAAACCTGGGTGCTTCAAGTCTGAGATCTTACTTAAGCTCCCAACTTAACCATTCCTCATTAGAAAGAAAAAAGTGCCCCTTTGCCAACTTGCCATTATGGTAAATATAGATTGAGAAACCATGGGTTCATTTAGAGAAACATAATTGAAAAATCTTCTCCTAGGGAAACGTACTTAGAAAACTTCCTAGACTAAGAGTAAGTAAATAAATAAAAGGAAAATAGATAACTTTAAGAAGAAGAAACACATAGAATGAGAATGAATGTATAGGATCACACCCCATAAGAAAGGAATTGAAATTCAATCTGGCCATATGGTACATAAAATAAAATAATAGATAATGAACAACACAATTATGATTTTATCGTAACATAGGAGCCTTAACCTTAAACATGTATAAGTAACTGGATCATTTTCTTAAGTAAACCATGGTGAACTTTCTCAATAGTTTAATTTCATTCTCACTAAAATTAATGCCTTAGTTGTAATTTAATTGAAGATATGTAAAACTTAGATAAATATATTCTCTATTTATCTTTACAACCTGAAGAAAATAGAAAAAAACCAAAGGAAACAACTACACAGATTTTTAATATTTATTCCCAACTATTGGAAACTCAACCAAACAAGCTGTCAGGTTTTGTTCTCAAATTTCATTTCCACTTTTGACATATCAGTTTGTTTTGAAAATATTATAGAAGACACAAACCAAACCAGTATCAAAATGAACCAAAAGCACTTGATGAAATGTAATAAAAACCAGTATATAAATGAACCAAAAGCATTTGATGAAATGAAACTTACATCTCTGACAAATCCCGACCGAGATTCCTCACTAGTGCTTCTTTTATGACTTTGAAATCACATGGAACCGCCTACAATGTCATAGACAACAACATCAGAATAAGAAAATATAAGATGAATCCCTACCTAAAATGTTATATTTGCTTAGCACACTACAATCATCCCAACCTGATCCTGCAATGAGGAAAGTGTTGATGAGTACTCTTTTGGGACCTTCTGCAGTCCAGCAACAAATTGTCCAGCTTTTGCATAGAAACCTCTATTTTTCTCACATAAATTCAGCATTCTCTTGGCTGAGCGCAAATGAACCTAAAAAATGGATAAAGAATTTTTATTGAATCAAAAGAATTCCTTTTTCGACTTAGTTTTTTCTTTTTATCCCAAAAGAAAAAAAAACCAGAATTTCTAAAAAATAATTTGAGAAAAGAAAGAGAAACCTGAGATGATACAAGGGGATAGTCCTTGGAGTCCAGAGGCAACCCATATAATGAATACTTATAATCAGCAAGAACTAAAGTGATCTGCAGCAGAAACACCCGAAGAAAAAACCCTTAAGAAGTTTCGCATCATGGATAATGGAACTCAAAAGCAAGTGAAGAATCATACAGTGGAGACAGCACGAGAGGAGCGAACAATTCCTTCAACGGCGAACCTAATTTTGTTGGGGAAGAGAGGAGAATCATCAGAAAAGGGGAGCAAATTGGAGTAGTATGTAGCTGGAAAAGATAGGCCGGCGGCTGTTAGCAACAAAAGGGTGGACTTGGCTTTCACAGGAAATTTGAAGATTGTGCTCTTTGCAGTCATTTAGTATAAGCTGCTTGTTCAAGAGTTAGTTGAATTCGGTTAGATTTTGGGCGCAAATCGTGGGTTTTAGAGGGGTTTCTAGCGAGGTTTTTGGGTATTCAACAACAGTGAAAGCAGCCGGGTTTGCTTTGGTGCTGCTTTCTGCGGCGGCAGCAGGCGTACACCGGAAAGGCAAATTGAGAGGAAGGGACTAAAAGCCTACATTTAGTCCCTCGTCTTATTAAATCTGTCCTTTTTAATCCTTCACTTTTTACATTGAAGTTTTTAATCCCTAACTCTTCAATTTAGAGTAAATAACCAAAAATTCACGTTAAATTATGACGTGCTTCACGATGAATTGATGGAGTATTTGCGTTAAATTGACTTCAATTTTAAATTATTTATTTTAAATTAAATAGTAAAAATAGTAAAAATTTTAATACGTAAAATAAGAAATTAAAAATAATAAGTTAATAAGATAAGTGACTGTCTTAAAAGGCAACTCATGATTTGCACTTTCAAATCCTGAATTTAAGACCTCTCACTAATACCTTTAACATACTAATATCTAACAAGTAGTTATTGTCCTTATTAAAAAAAAATTGTCCTTATTAAAAAAAAAAGGGAAGAAAAGATAAGTGACTGAATGTAACCTCTTGCCAAGAGGAAGGTGACGCCGGGGACCTTTCAAATAAACAGGAAAAGTGTTAAAAGAAGTTGACCGTTCAACGATTATATAAAACAGTGGTAGCTTTTTCCACGCCACTCCCGACGGATTGTGCATTGAGTTTTTAAAAACGGGGATGAGAACAACCAAGAATAAATTCACAGATAAGTTT